TCCATCTTCTGGCGTCATTTCCTCCACACGCCGCCGTAGCCGCGGGTTGGCTTTTCTCTCTTCTGGATTTAAAAACTGTGCAGGACCTTGTGAGAGAGGGGGAGAGGCTCGCCGGATGGCCTCCGAGCTAATGGGCATTTGCAGATCTCAGCGGGGAGGAAACTCGCCTTCTTCACAAATAAGGCGGTTTTTAAGTCACCTCAGTTAAAAAAAAAATTTTTTTGCCATATTTGCTATTATCTTGGGTTTTTTTAAGGATTTCTTTTCACTGACCCCCACCCAGATACCTTTGTGATTATGGCAGCCAGTAGAGAGGTTGGGTTGATTTTTACCGGAAAAGAATATTCCTCGGTGGAGTTACAACGTTGAATTTCAAGCGAGCAGGCGTCACTGTCTAAACCTGCCTTTACTGGCCATGGCGCGCTGCATCCGCACGATGCTCAGCCACTTCGTCAGGTGAACTTCAGCAGCAGGTGCTCTGCTCTTGCACTGTGGTCCATAGGGAGGTCACTCGGTGGCCGTTTGCCGAGCTCAGCCGAGACCTGTTTCCAGGCAAAGCTCGTGAGCAAAGGCAGTGACCCCGGCACTGGGGAAGCGGTGGTCCGACCCCGCCATAGCGGCACGCCAGCCTGATGGGATCAGCCAGAATGAGTCCGGAGCGGGTGCTGCGGACCTGCTCGCGCTGCCTGGAGGTGGTCCTGCCTGCCCGTAGTCCTGGCTCAGATCGGCGGCGTTTCCAGGCCAGGGTTTTGCCCTGCTGCCTTCCCATGCTGCCTCACCTGTGTGCTCCTACGGTGGTGGCTGAGCAGAGCCTGGATGGAGCCTTTTACCCTGAACTCAACTTTGTGGTGTGCGGGGACGGGCAGCCCGCGTGCAGCCACGGGCAGCTCAGAAGATGCAGTTTCCGCAGCAGCCTCCCTCCCTCTCCTCGGTGTGCTGGGACCGAGCGTCAGCCGGGAGGACGCACCGGCCACTGCCTCCCCTTGCTCGGTGTTGGTCTGTAGGGCTGGTGCCAAACCACGTGGCCAAAATCTGCTTTGTTTTGGTGGAAAGGGGGCACTTTCCAGGTATTTGTGGAGGAAATAAACCTCTGAAAGCACGTGTTGAGGACTGGCTCACCCTCGCAGCGTCTCTCTCGACAGCAGCTCAGCACATGCACGTGATGGCTTCTGCCACCCTTTCTTGAGAGAGGTGACACAGCGAGTGGCCTGGCAGAAATTCCCCATCAGAAATTGCCCCTTTGCAGGTGTGTTAAGCACTGACATGGACAAGAAACGTTCAGGAAGAGCATGAGACTCCTAACTTTCTTAAAGGGGAGGAGTTGAGTTGTTGTGATTGCAGTTAACGTCTTTCTTCTGCATTTACTAGCAGCAGCCTGAGCTCTCGAGCCCCCCAGGTTGTGTGGGTGCCATCGGTGTCCACTTTTTGGAAGATGGCTCTGAAATACTCCCATGTTCAGCCCCATCAAGTTTTATTGATGCTGCTATTCCCGAACCTGACTGCCCGTGACCCAGCCCCAGTTATCCCAGTGAAAGCTGTGGGCCACGAGCCGTGACAGTGACCTTCTGTGGAGCCGCGGTATCTGCTGGTGGCGCTGGGGAATCGGGAGCTCCCGTGGCTCCATACGGTGTGTTTCATCGCAGTTGTCTCCCTTGGACGGCCTCCAAGATGCTCACTCAGAATAGCTGGGGATTTCACACCATCCAAATTGTTCAGTTCCTGTTCTCCCCTGCCTGCTGCTAACCTTGAGGATGCGGCTCTCCATCGCTCGGATGTCAGATGGGCTCAGTTGTGTGTGTGCAAAAGGCAAGGACTATTCCAGCAATGCCTGGGGCTATTTTCTTCTTGTTAAAATAAGAGATGAGACAGTCTCCACAGCTGGGCTCTCACAGCAGATCTTAGGCTGTATCTTAACCATCCACGAGGTTTTTTCAATACCCCTTTCCTCCATATATTCCTATGGAGCTGTTAAATGAGGGCCCAAGTTTAGTCAGTGGATTTTGTTAAAAAAATACCCTTGTTACCATTATGGAGAGCAATGATCTGAGGAGAATCTTTCCTGCCTTTTACAAGCACCTTGTGTTAGTACAGTCGTATTGGGTGAGTTTGTGGTCCGTTGCTGCAGTCACTTTTCCCGAGCATCTACGCAATACCGCCTGGAAGTTTCCTTATGTACCAGCTCTGTAGGGAGGGCGTCTTCTCTCGTCTTGCCTCTCTCTTTTGCTGCCTCCGAACTCCGATGTTATTTATGCTGGTGTCGTAAAAGAGGAACTAGGGGCTCTTCACATGCTGTGCTGGGCGGGTTTGGTGCTGAGCGCGGCAGGGCTCAGCAGGGCACAGTGACCCACGTCCTGGGGCTCAGCTGCGTGGGGGGGTCTGCACCGGGAGCAGAGAGCACGGCAGGGGCCGAGGAGCTGGTGAGCACCTCCCTTCTCTCTTCTCACAGCCTTTCGCTTCTCCTCCTCTTTGCTCCTTTTCTCTCCATTCGCCTTTCCCATTCTGTACGTCTTGCCTCCAGCTGGTGCAGACCCTGAGTAAAAGGCAGGTGCCGGGTCCCCTCGCAGCCCCCATCCCTCCCTGTCTGTGCCTGCCCTGTCAGGCAGGAGGGGTGGCCGTGCAGCATCTGAGTCTTGAGGCCAGCGTTAAAGTAGGTGGTAGCAAGAGCAGCGTAGCTCTTTGTCCGGCTGCACGGGCACACTAACAGGTTTCGGCAGGGACCGTGGGGGTGCCGGGCTGGGATGCAGCAGCGTTGCACCCGTCCGGGTGATCCCGGCTAGAAGGAGTAAGCTGTGACTTTCCATTTCTCCCTTCCTCCTACCTCCCACTCTCCGCTTCAGAAAGGATCTGGGAGCTACTCAGGCTGGCGCAGCAACACTCTAATGCCTTTTGCAATCACAAGTGGGCACCAGGCTGGGGGCACAAACCGCTGTGCAGCAGAGGGTCTGCAGGCAGCGACCACAGGCAGCTGCGTGTCAGGAGCGCGCTCGGGCATGGCTTCGCGTGGGAAAGCCGAACCTCTAATTCCTCTCTCCGGGATTAGAGGTTTGCACCAGCTGACCCAGGAAAAGGGGAAACGGTCTGTCCGGCGCTTTCTGTCCTGGGGCTGTGGTCAGGCCGCAGCCTCGCGGCTCGGAGGGGTGAAGCGGGTGTGCACACACACAGATGCGAGCTGAGCAAGTGCAGAGGAACCCTCTGATGACGTTGCCTCTGGTTCTGCTGCTGGAAGGGCATTGGCTCTTACAGCTGCACCGGTTCTCCGGGGGCCAGGGCAAAATGTGCAATGCTATGAGCTCCCTGGCCCAGCTCCCACTGGGATCCGTGGGAAAGAAGTGGGCTGGCAGGGTCATTTTCCAGGGAGTGGGAGGGAGCTGCCGGCTCTGAGCAGTGGCAACCGGCCAGCCCTGCTCTGTCTGGTCGAGGGCCCCGATGGCCACTGGAGCTGCGGCCGGCGCCTTTGGACACACGAGCTCAAGGCTGAGCACTTGCCACTGCCTCATGGATCAGGGCCTCAATCCCTCTGGTTCTGCCTCCATGTACAGTGCTTCCTTCCAGCTCCCCACGGCACTGAACTGAGCAGCGTTTTGGCTCGTGCTAGCTCGGTGCTAGTAGTGAGCTCACCTGCAGCCTGTGCTGGGGAGAGGGGCTGTGCTTGCAAGGGGAGGCAGCAAGCAGCCCTGCCTGCCTGCAGCGGGGGGGTCGCTTTGCCCCATGTGCTGGGTAGTTGGCACCGGGCTGGACGAGCCCCCTGTCCCCGGGGGTGCCCACCGCAGTCGTCCTGCTGGCACTCGTACGGAGGAGCAGAACCGGCAGGCGAGGCGGCAGGAGCAGGATGGGCGTCTGCCCTGCTCCTGCTCCCCGGGGGCTCACTGCAAGCTACTGGTGCAGGATGGGGCTGCCTCGAGGGGGTTCCCCTGCCCTGCCCTGCCCAGCCTGCTGGCCGCCCTCAGCTGCTGCATCTGTGTGTGTGCGCGGGCTCGTGCGCGCATCCCCGGGCTGCCGGGTCAGCGGCGCTAACGACCTCTCTCTCCCCTCCGCCCTCTCCACCCCAGAGACTTAACTCGCTGCGACTCCGACTCCTCCATCCCGCACCTGAGCGACCACCAGCGTATCCCCAGCTCTGCGCCCAAGCTGCTGGCTGCCCGGCCCAACCTGCTGACCAGGTCCATCGAGGAGGCTGCCCCCGGCCACCCTGCCATCGGCGCACCCACGCCCAACGGCGGCAGCAGGCACACGGAAGCCTCCGCCCTGGGGTCTTTGCCGGAGCGGCTGCCCGAGAGCCCCATGGTGATGAAGAAGATGATGATGGTGAACCACGGCATGGAGAAGTCCTCCAGCCTGGGGGAGATCAGCCACCCGACAGCCGGCAAGCACAGCCACTCGGATTCCTCCCGGTCCCACAGCCCCAGCTCCACCGACCCCGACACCCCCTCCCCCATCTCTGACTGCCGGCCCAGCAGCGCCAAGAGCACCCGCATCCCGCAGCTGGCTGCCAAGAAGAGCCCGGGGGACGAGGACAGCAGCTTGACAGGCGATGAGGTTGACCTCGGCCAGAGCAAGAAAAAGTTCCCCCTAAAGATCTTCAAGAAGCCCAAGAAGTAGAGAGAGGAGGGGGGGAAGAGGAAACCCACCCAGGAGCGCGACCCGCTGAGACCGGGGGGCAGCCGTGCATCGGGAACGCAGCGCACCCACCCGTCCCGGACCCCGCGGGCGCGGGTGCCGGCCAGCCCCCGCGGCCGCCCCCCCCGCGCCCCCCGCCT